GGGGGGCGAGCAGCCCGGGCTCACCGAGAGCCGCCCCGCTTCCTCCCGGCTCTGGAGTTGGGGCTTCAAGAAAGGAGGCGGAATTAGCCAAACGAGATAATGAAGGTTGCTCGTAATGGTTTTTACTGTGGGGAAAATTAACCAGTTGCTAATAATTGTATGGTCTCTAGGCCAGACGGTCCCTTTGATAAGTTAACATGTACTCCCTTTATGCTCCTGGTAGGGGGTAAACAAATGCCTGAACAAATACAAATACACATAAACACAAATGTGGAGAATAGCAGTATATGTCTTAGATCCAGATAATAAGTGTGGGTATTGTTATTTAGATGGCGCATACTGGGACACTTATCTTTTAGTACACTCCATTTTCTAACTGAATGCAGTGCTAATCGTGGGATTGAAAGCTATTGTAATTGTGTACCCATCTAAATGCTGACAAGAATATACAATTACATTGTTTGGAATTGAGTTTAATGTTCTCTGAATTTTATTAGTATTTATATTTACTTATGCATTAAAATTCTACACAAAAAGAGGTCAGAATACAAGAGTTACAGACATAAATATCAGACCCATCCACACCCTCGCTGCATTTTTCCTGAAAATACCGAACAAACATATTTTATTTTATTTTATTTTAAAGGAAGTGATAGAATCTGAAATGAGCAAATAATGGGTTTCCATTCTAAGCAATGCCTTTTCTCCCTCTGGATTTTGCAATCTTTTAAAGCTTTTTTTCATACCCAACTTTTTATTATTATTTATAATGTGTGTGTTACTGGAAAATCTTTCCACAGTATGCTTACCACCACACGATGTTTAAACACACATTATAAAGTGGATGTAATTGTAAACACTCAGAGGGATATAATTACATGTAGCAGATTTAGGAACTAATTCTTTGCTTCTCTCTCTCTCTCTTTTTTTCTCTCTCTCTCTTTACTCTGCATTTTATCAACATAATTATTTTTTGACTGCAGACTAACACCCAGAAATTGACAGGCATCCATTATAGGCAGCAACTTGTTCACCAAATTGAAAAACAATGAGCTGCAGGTTTATATGTGCCCATTGTCATACAGAATTACCGGGGCTTTGTTCCACAGGAGGAAAAGGCTAATGGTTTTGAAACAGCAGGTGACAAAGCACACTTTTTCCCCCGCTTTTTTTTGGTCCTTTTTTTTTTTTTTTTCTTTCCTCCCCCCTTATCAGTTTTTTGTTGAAGTCATTACGAACTGGGGCCCAGAAAGGGTTTGCCTTATTTTTAGCAGATAGACTTTTAATGAGTTCTATTGTGGAGACAGTCATGTTGATTTGCTTACATTTTTTTTCCCCCCCTTCACTCAGAAACTCCCAGTATTGAAAAGCTACTATCAAAGGACTGGAAAGACAAGCTTCTTGCCATGGGATCAGGGAACTTTGGAGAAATAAAAGGTAACACTGTTTCTGTGCTAAAGCAAATTCTGGCTTTATGGAACTTTGCTTGTTTGCTCCTCTCCCCCTCCCCTTGAAACATCATAATTTGGGGCTTAAATGAAATGTATGCTCTCCATCTGTGATAAGAGAAATAAATGAAATGGCATATTACCCTTACGTAAAGCTTTTGTTGCATGTATCGTTCTGTGTTGTAAGAGGACACATCCTATTGCCGGATTGGAAAAAAAAGCCAATTCACATATCAAACGCAGGCTTATGCGGTATGAGAGTATAGCAGAGCTCAGCTTCTGAAGTCTGAGGGTGATCAGAAGTCCTTGCTAATTTTGGGGCAGATTTTGATGATGTAAATTTTTTTGACTTTTCTGCATGTAGGGAACAAAAAAAAGAGCAAAGTTTGTGTAATGATACCTCTAGGTACCGAAATTAGCCAGTGCAGATTTTAAAAGACAGCGTACAACATCTGTGCACTAAAGCATGTTCTTTTAAAGCCGTACTCCAGAAGGAAAATGACAAAATTTGACCACTCTCCAGCAGCAGTAGCTCTTGCTTTGCCAAGATATTTCCCCATTTTATATATGTGAGGTCATTTTAGGGAACCTGTAGTTGTTTGTTTTCATGTAATGTAATATTTTTATAATTCTTCCTCAGTGATTGCGATGAGGAGCTGACTCAAAATACAAGTGTGTCAAAAATTCTGGTTTCCAGAGCAGCCATTATCTCTCTGAAAAGAAACAGTGACTCCGATTCTTCTCCCATTTGTATCAGTGTACATCTGGAGTAGCGAAATCAAAGCCAGTGTTGTTTTGGAAATGTCAAAGTAGAGTGAGCTTAAAATTAAACCCTTCTTTTATGTTTACAAACTAGATTTCATTCCTCCCCACGATTTGTTGTTTGCTTCCTAATGTCCCTGATGCCGAGATCCTCGTTCAGGCAGGCTCGCAAACCTCATGCCTGACAGGTTTAAGGACCTTCTGCACAAGAGGTGGGCAGTGTTCGGCAAAGAATACAACATGACGTGCTCTGAGAGGTTAATGTATTGGTACATGTACAAAGATAGTGTTATTTTAATTAGACGTGCCTTCCAGCTTGTCACCAATAAGCCACTGGCATGAGTTAGCACTAGTCCACTGACTTACACAAGTAGGAAAGAATGCCACTTGCTTCCTCTAGCTTCTCCCTAAGAGGCTGTAATTCAAAAAAATATATTCAGTACATATGTAGAATAACTTTAAAACAGAATATAGCACTTTGGCCCCAAATAGGCTGAGATATTACTATTATTATTATTATAACAGAGGGCCAAACCTTGGATTCTTTATTCCCACTGAGCACGTTTTCTCCCTGTGCGTAAAGCAACAGGTCATAAAGAGGTAGGGTAGCCACTGGGCTTATCTGCGAGTTCTGGTTTTTGAAAGCATATTGTTTTAAAATAACATCATCGTCTGCCATGAACTGATGAATCTTTAAGATGTTTCAGGCCCAGAGTACACAGGCGGCTTTCATATCCACTTTTGGGTGTGTTTTTCAGCAGTTCTTGCATGTTGTCTGGAGCCCCTTTAACTCTTGATGTGCTGGAGCCTTTAGAAGGGCTCCCAGCGATTCTCCTCCGCCTTTGGACTCGGCGAAGCTGCTCTGAAAAGTGCTGCGTGCTGAGGAGGCGGTCTGTTCCCAGTCCTTGTGATCTTGTTCTGTTTGAGGGCAATCTTTTTTTCTCCCTTCCTCTCTTCCCCTTTCACAAGCTAAACTTGAAAGCGGCAGCAGCAGCTATATGCTAGCACGAAAGAAATTCAACAGTCCTTTCAGTCTTGCCCGGGGGGGAGGATGGGGAGCAACAGCACAGCCTCAAAGAAGAGTTTTTCTTTGCTTTAATTTTTGTTTTTTAGCTTCATATTTTGAACACAAGTCGAGTTATTGTTCTGTAGCTCTGTTCAAAAGCCTCACTTCTGAAGCTTTTTAGTGCAACTGTGGTTCTATGGTTGGGGGCATGGTTATTAGGTGTTTGGATCAGGTTTGGCAGTAAGCTGTGAAAACAGGCACTGGTTTATTTTTCCTCCTGACTGCCGTGACAGTTGCAATTATTGTCCATTGTTCCTAGGTGGCTAGAAAGGAGGGAGGATACAATAGAGCATTGCCCTCTGGGGGTAAATGAATTTGACTTACAGGTTCTTGGGGGGTCAGGCAGGCTGATTATTTAGTGCCCAGGAATGCGGTTTTCATGGCACCGCCAGCCATGAGCCGCCAACAAACAATGGCTCAGCTGTATTGCAGCTGTATTTAGTGAGGCAACATGAAAGGTGTGCGAGTTGAGCTGTTTTAGACTCACGTATGCGTGTACAAACACACATATATTTTGCTAGGAAATGTTTTTGTCCTCCTATAGGAACGTAGAGTTATTAAGTTTTCCAGTTGTGATTTTTTAATTAACTTCGCTCTCTATTTGCCTTGGCAGCTGCATTTTTTTTCCCCCCCTCGTTTCTCTATTAGCGATATTTGGAAAGCCCGCACGAGTAGTGTCTTATTATTAATACACCCTGGAATGTGGACAGCACTAGAAGCTGTACTGCCCAACTGTCTTCTGCGCTGAATAGTTTTTTCCACTTAACTGTTCAAAATTTCATTGTGTTTTTCATTAGATCTGGGGGAGTTTTAGTACGTCATGTGCTAAAGTCTCAGCGCTAGGCTACATATTGTTAATGCCCAAGTCTGTGTTATTACCATTGAGTTTTATTCTCTGGGAGAGATTGAGAGAGAGATGAGGCGGAAGGCTTTATTTTCTATTGCTGTTTTTTCTTTTAAGTTAGAAAGCAGTAATATTTTATCAAAGATAGGGGAGGTGGTGAATGGCTGGAAGTCACCAGACTCCCGCGTTTTGTATTCAGTTGTTCCTCTTACTTGCTTTGTTACTTTCGGCAGCTACTTTAAGCCGCCCTTTCTTCATCTGCATGCCTGCAAAATGGGAGAGCCACCACTTAGTGTTTGCAGAGGTCTAGCTGCAAACTTCAAGATCACAGTTAGAAGGATCTATATAAGTCCGGTTACTAATGGGAAAGGGAATGTAGTATTTCACTCCAGGGCTTGACTAAAAGGTACTGCAAGGGAATACTCTTATGCTTAAAATGGGGCGAAATCTAGAACCTTTCGTATCTGTAGAAACTTTAACTCAAATGCCTCTGTTTGTTTAGAGAAGCAGTCTGGGGCTAAATAAAGAAAACAAGCTTGGCACTGGAGATTTCTGAAGAAATTGTATTTTGAAATCCCTGCAATTTTTACTCTGTTCAAAACAAGTCAGTCTATAGTAAAACCCCCAAAACATGCCGTTAAATTGAAATATTTTAAAATAAAGCTGTAAACCTGTATATTGGATTGGTGAAAGCCTGTTCAAACTTAGTTATATCCATCATATTCAAGAACAGGGCTCAAAAGGCCCCCGGATTATGCACGGATAATGCAGTTTATTGGATTCGGTGGAGCAGAGAGAACTTCAGGTCTCAAACCGATCATCTACAGGAAGGAAAATTATACCCCCTTTCTGCTTTCAGTGTAGCCACCTGATACGGTGCATTGCAGGGTGAAAGTGGTTGCTTTCCTCCAAAGCAACGTTACCGACTGCAGCAGATGCAGCACGTAGGGTGGACCGATGGTAGGAAAAGGTATAGGAAGTCTGTTTCCGTGCTCTTCAGCGTCAGTGGCCATCCCCATACTTAGAAAACAAACATGACTTCTATTTGACTGGTGTTGCTCCTTGTCTGAGCAGACTTCAGGGAAAGGTGTTGGTCCCCCAGGTGGGGAGGTGCATCAGGAGGTGCACAGCTTTGCCATGCTGATGTGAGTGAGGCAGTTTTAACCATGACGAGAACTCTTTTAAAAACTTCCCGGGTGTACACAAAGCCTTTCTGCTAATCTTGTCCATCTCTGGCTTATCGAGAGTTGTCAACTAATAATAATACGTATTTTATATGTTCCCCACTTAGCTAGTTTTGAATAGGTGTGTAGAACAAAAGGCTAAACTGACTTCTGTTTCTAATCTTTCTGAGTTGGTTTTCTGTTGAAGTGAAGGCATTGTTAACAGTGATTGCGCCTGAATCTCTCAAGAAAGACCGGGCAAGCCTGAACCTGATGGTTTTTTGTTGTTTGAAAACCCTTCTCTATTGTACAGCTTAGTTCCCAAACAACCCAGGTGAAGTGTTTTCTGTTCTGCACTCACTGTGAAAGGGATCATCGTTAGGGTAAATTCAGCTCTTCGTTGTAGCCACTTAAATCTAGGTGGCTCCAAAGACTGTAACCACAGATTTATGAGCGTAATTGAAAGCAAGATTAGCCTACCAATCCTAATCTTTAATGCATGATAACACAGACATTTGTTTTGTGCGAGAAACAGGGTTCCAAGTCCCGTGAAGTATCAGTGCAGGTCTTACATCGAGCTGTGTTTGACGTGTGATAGAGCTGTGTTTGCTGAAGACTCTAATCTTGCTTCTATGTTCGGAAGATGGGGCATGAGAGAGTATGCGGTGAACGGTCTTACGACTGCCAATAATGGATAAAGAGAAATAATCCATTCGGTGATACTATAGCTCATCAGAGCCCATGAATTAAAGACATATGTTATGTAGATTCAATGTATGGATTAAAACGGATAATCTGGTAGGTGACACACAGAATCTTGAGATAAGTGGGCTATGCAGATTCGGTATATGGATTGTGACGGATAATTCCATTTAAGTAATGCTGGACAAGTTGAAGACAAGTAAGCTTCGGGTAGTGCTCAGGTTATGTGCAGTAATCCAGTGAGTGACACTTTGGATCGCGTAATCTGTAAACTGAAGACAAGGAAGCTGGGGATTCTGCATTTAGATGTGGCCAGGAGGAAGGAGGGGGAAGGGGTAAGAGATTATTCGTGGGGAGTACGCGGGGTTTAAACCTTTGACTAATAAAGCACAGATCCCTAGGAGATGTGTGAAAGCTGCACACTTTCTTAGGAGCTGTGTGACTTTTACATT